CTATTTATTTGTCCAGCTGTTTCTTTATCTGGACGCATTCGGAGCCTGTGAATGTGAAGGATTTGCCAGGACTTCTGAGAAACTCGGGGCCAGATGCTCTAAATTGGTCTAAATTGGCAAAACTCCATGGAAGTTATTTTTCTGGATGCAACGAAACATGTCTGCAAAGTGCGCAGTTCCTCTGTTAATCCCTTGCCCCTCTGGCCTCTCTGCCACCGTCCCTTGGTCCTGGCCTTGTCACCCACCATCCCCAGTCCTGGCCGTCCCGCTGCCAGCACCCAGCATGATCCCAGGCTTGTCCTCCCCTCCCAGGTCTGTCTACCAGTCTCCGTCCTGACCTGGCCAGATGGGGAAAGCTGGTGCAGCTGAGGTCCCCATGCTCACCTCGCTTGCGGCTGAGCCACAAGAAGACCGCGCAGAAACATAGGAGGCACCCCCTCCCCCCAGGTCATTGGCGTAGCAGCTCATCAGCTTGACAGCGTCTTAGTGCAGCTGTGAGCATCTGCAGGCGGTGGTGTGGTGGTGGCGGTGCATCTCTAGATGCCAAGTGCTCTGGCCGGAGCCCTGGTGTGCCCTCGCAGTGAGCAGCAGTGCCGTTGACGGCCCCGGCGCTGGCGGGAAGTTGCTTATTGAAAGCATCTTCAAAGTGAAAAGGACAGGCACTTATCTCCTAACTGTCCCGCGGGGAGCAGCGCGGTTTCTGGTGGGAAGCGGGCCAGCATTGCGTCTGCTGGTTTCGAGCAGCTGCAGATTTATTTATAATGCCGTGGGTAGCATGTGAATCTGCAGATAAACACGCGGGAGGGAAGAACACAAACAACAATATTGAGAAAACGCTGCTCTGGAGAGAGCATTTCACTGAGCTGCAGCTATCACCAGCCACCAGAGGTGGGCCAGGGGCCAGGCACCCACCCCTGCCACTCCCGGCTTTGCTCCGTGCTATCACCGTCACTGCCAGGGGGGTCTTTATGGGGCTGCCAAACCAGCAGGGTGGCACCACAAAAGCCTTGGCTGTGGCGGTGAGTGAAGCTGCTGAGTTTGCTGGTTGAAGCAGGCACCTTCTCCTCTCCATGTCTGGCCGGGATCTAACAGCTGAGCCTGGGGTTGCCCATCCAGAAATTGGTCTTTGTTGTCCCCAGCCTGGGAGTTGGTCCTGCTGGGTGCCCGGTGCAGGGTTATGAGCACGGGGCAACCTGCAGGTAGGATCAGGACCCCCGCTGGGTGAGATGTGGCCGTGGCAACCCAGCACGGGTCTCCATGGGCGCAGAGGTTGGAAGGGGCTGGGCCCTGTTGGGCTGGCTGTGGGTGGAGGGGCCGCCTTTGGAGGGTGGGGGGCTCCCATTCCTTGGGGCTTACCATGCCTCACGTGGGGCTTGCCCCCACAGCAGGACTCTGTACGACTGATGTCTCAGTGCCTGGAGTCACCCATCCACTCAGAGGCATCCAGGAGCATCTCCTCAGCTGTCGTACCTCGATGGCCAGAAGAAACCAAGCCCAGTGTGTGCTCCTGCCACGTGTGCTTCTCCAGCGCCCGGCTTGCCCGGCATGGGGAAGGGTGCAAACAGTGCCCGAGCTGCTTCTCTGCCAATCCCTCTTCAGGGGCAATTGCCTTCCCTGGCAAAACTGAATCTTGTTTCCCACATGTCTTACGGGGTTCAGCTCCCATGCTTCCCGCACAGGCTAAGGAGCTCTGTGCTGCCACTTTCTCCGGTGTTGATCCTTGCATACCACAATCAATCACCTTGCAAACTCCTCTTCGATGAGTCTCCGAAGTCTCCCTGCAGCAGTAAAACCTCATCCAGCTGCAGGAGGAAGAGACCCCAGGGGAAGCTCAGCCTTGCTCTTGCATGGATGAGGTGGGTGGTGAGGCCTTGTCTTGCTTTCTTAAACCTTCCTGGTTTCTTGGTTGCTAGTTCGGACTCCGTGCCAGCACGTTTGGGATGGGACGTCAGAGCAGGGCTTGGCTGTGTCTTCACAGGGCCTTCCTCCCACTACAGTCTGCCCACTGCTGCCTCTTGTTGTGGAGACCTGAACAGGTCTGAGCCTGGAGAGCGGCAGAGGGAAGCCCCTGCCGCTGGGGGATGTGTTGGTTTGTTGGGCGTCACTCCTGATTTTGTTTGCTGGAGGAATGAATCGATGCACTTCTTTTGTCTGACAATAAGAAACTTCTCAGGGATGAGACAGTGATCTTCCCTGGAGGACCATGGGGCCTCCTCCACCTCGACCTTGGGTGGAGGGCGGGGGATGCTCCTGGCCAGGTATATGGGCAAGAGAACTCTGGCAGGCCGTTATTTGGGCAATGCCGTGTTTTGAAGTCAGCCATCGATGGATGTTGGAACAAACCCACCAGCACCCTTGAAACCCATCCTGGCTTCACAGACAGGGCAGCAGTTTGGTGGAAAAGCTGTGGAAAAAGGGGAGCATTGGGGTGTTACAGCTGGGCGCAATGGGGATTGTGGTCTTGAGGACCACCCTACACAAAGGAGGTGGAGAAAGAGGAGCCTCGGAGAAAGGAACCTGCTTTAGGGTGGAAGAATACGGAAACTCGGCTAATTTGGTTATCTTGGGGAGGATTTGTTTGCCACCCTCGAGCACCACAAGAGGGAACGGAGGTTTTGGGTAGCAGAGTCTTTGTACCGGTAAGAGGAAATCTAATAGCTGGCCGCTGAACAGTGCAAATTCAGGCTAAAATTGATGGAAGATCTTTTTTATAAGGAGATAATGGACCGTTAGAAAAACCTGCTTAAAACCTGCAGATTTCTCCTCCTTGTCTTGGGTGGAAGCAAGGATGTCCTTGGGCCCGCTGGGGCAGATGCAGAGCTCCGAGGGTGAGGGGCAATGGCGAGGTCCGTGGGCTCTGCCGCGACGCACCTAGCATTCCCATTGCACTGAGTTTTCCTTAAATTAAAGGCTCTTACAGAGGCAAAATGCTTCACAATATTCTTTTTATTTGGGGAATTATTTGTCCTGTTTTAGAGCGCATCTTTTACACTGTAGTCGCTGCTATCGACATGCTTGCTATACGCCCGAGTCGTTGATAGTGAAGATAAAGCAACAAATTTAAGGGTTTTTTAAAGTAACACAGCTTCTAGTGAGCAGTGGATGAAAAATATTGTTTTCCATTCAGATCAAAGTGCCACTGGTGTTTTAATGACAAAGCCAGATCGTCTGATAAAATAAACACTATTATTGATTGACGTAAACAAATAGTCAGGTTAAAAAGACATATCATAAATCTGAATGACAACCTTGCTGGACTAGCTGTTTGCCAGAGCCCTGCCTAGTGGGACAATTTGAAGAGAACTATTTTTGCTTTTTACTCTTGGAATAAAACCAAAGTTTGAAATCCTGGTTTCCTGTGAACTGGAAACCGCTGGCTCTAACCGGGAGTAACAAGCGGCCTGCGGTCTGAGAACGATTTACTGCCGGAGGTAGGTGCAAGGAGTGTGCCCGTGCTGCTGGGAGAAGGGGAGGTCACCTGCGCTCTGGGGCAGGCAGAGCAGCAGTCATTCCTGCATCCACGCTTCGCTCTTATGGGATGGGGCTCCTCAAGGCTGAGCTTCCTGCCCTTTGTTTTTGGTCAGCCCCATGGAAGTGGAGAAGGCAGAGATGCTTTTGGGGGGTTCATGGCAGGACGCTTGGGTTTTTTGGTGGTGAGGAGCAGCAACAGGACATGGTTACAGCCAGTAACTCTCCATCCCTGCTGTGGCCATGGGAACTGGCCCCATTGGGTGGGTTGTAGGACAGTGGCTGTGTTGGAGTTCTCCTGGTGCAGCACTCTCAGTGAGCTGACGTGGGGCGGGTGTACATCTGGGGCATAAGATGCTTTTTCTCGAGAAGTGCAAAGCCCCAAAGCTGGATACTCTCCCTGCTTGTCCTGCAGTGAAACTGCAAGCTGGATTTTGTGCGTGTGTCTTGTGTGCATGTGCAATGGATGCTTCCCAGCATCCCTGAGATGTGTTGGCATCCCAAGCAGAAGCGCTGGAATCGGGGGTGGGTTCACGTTCTCCCTGCAGAGCAGAAGGACACGATTTCTTCTATGGACATCGCCTTGGTCTCAGCCACAGAACCTCTGGCCCGGGGCTGGCCTGTGCAGTCTGTCCCGCAAGTGTCGCGCTTTTCCCCTGCCCAGCCTCGGTGTGCAGGAGCCAACTTCTCAACCCCATTTCCTAAACCCTTGAATGTTGTCCTGTTTTCTCAAAAGATCAGCATTGGGCAAGGTGCAGAAAAATCCCTGTGTTGCAGCAGAGGGTGTGACCGCAGACCTGGAGGAATGACAGACAGATAGTGGGAACCACTGGTGGAAGTGTATGTCCAGTGTGTTCCCGACGGGGCAGCCGGCCCATTCCTGTGCAGGACAGGGGATGCTTGCACATGTTGGTGGGGTGCTATACCCTGAGCATCCCTTCTCCTGCTGTCAGTGTAGTTAGGCCAACCTATGTGGGCTGAAACCCCTTCAGCGCTGGGAGCCTGACAACTGTGGAAAGGACAGGGAGGTTTGCTGCCCATGTGGCTCAGGGAGGCTCATCCTCTGGGCGGGTTGGCAGTAGCATTTCCATCCAAATCACCTGGAAAACCAGCTTTAACATTGGTTTAATTTTTTAGTGCTTTTAAGTCCTAAAAGAGCTGTTCCTTCCCATGTTGCTACCGCATTGCTGAGGATTCTGCCTACCATGCAAAATGCTGAGAAAAAAACATCCTCCTTCTGCAAAAGAAGCTGGAAGGTGATGGAGGAAACAGCTCAGGCTGGGCTCCTCATCTGCAGCAGCAGGGCTGCGCCGGGGCTTATCCTGGGTTTTGAGGAGGAAAGTCCAGCTGGGTGGTGGGTGGAAGAGCACATCCCCCCTTGCCCTGCAGGAGGCAAGGGGTCCTGGGAGCAACAGGCAATGGATGGGGAAGCAAATCTGATGGAGGGACCGATCCCAGGCTCCTCCCCAGCTGAGACCCGGCCTGAAGGCTTGGTGCAAGCTGGGCTTGATGGCTGCGGTCCTGGGCTGGCTCCTGTCCACCTCTTCCCCCTTCGCTAGCCTCAGGCCACCGACCGGACGGCCACTGACTCCTTGTTTCACCTTCCTCCCGCAGAGACGCTGATGGACTCCACAACAGCAACGGCAGAGCTGGGCTGGACGGTGCACCCTCCCTCGGGGGTAAGTTATCCCGTTGCTTTATGGGGGCCTGGAGCCTAGGTTGGGGTCTCCTGCTGGCTGCGAATGTAGGGATGGCTCAACAAAAGTCACCCACTGAAGCAGGGTGCCTTGGCCATGGGGAAAGGTCTAGTGGGAAGAGCACAGAAGAGGATGGCAGTTGAGGTTTCCAGTAGTTTTCTAGGAGGTGACGCTTCCAAAAACTACTCCAGTGCTGGTGAAGTGTAATTCTTACCCTACAGCATCAGGCCAACATGATGTTGGAGAAATCACACTCTCCATAAGGCCTGCAAATCATGGAGAAGGAGAAATGAAATGCCAAGGCCATCGTCGTCTGTCCCCGGTAGCTCACTTGCTATCCCATTGCCTGTCATCTGCAGCAGAAAAGGGTGAGGGCATTGGCCTGCAAGGTTGCACGCACAGCAGGCGTTTGATCAAGCCCTGAAATGACTGTCCAGCATCCCTGGTGTCTCCTGGAGGGACATTTGCTGGCTCAGCAGCGACTGTCTCTCCACTTTGCTGGTGCCAAGAGTCCCCTGAGCCACCTCCCAAGACCACCCAAAACAAGCTCCTTTAAAGAGCTTAGACAAGGCAGTGCACTTCTGCACCCTTCCGCTCACGACACAAAACCGTAGCAGCCCCAGCCACCTCCATGTCCTATGGGGTTTACGTGGGGCATCGAGGTGCTTCAGAGCATCCTGCCCTGCTCTGGCTGGCAGCAGCATGGAGCCTCAGTGCCCAAGACCCCCGACCTGCTCCCTTGGGCTTGGGTGGCCAAATCATGCCTGGCCAAGGCCTGGAGATGCTTCCCATCCCCGTGCACGGAGGTGGTAGCTCAGGCTCCATCCAGCCACCCTGTCCACCCTCCCCAGGGACTGGGTGAAGACGTTTCTGTGGACCTCCCCCTGAGGCTGACAGCAAGCCCCCTCCTCAGGCTGACCTGGCAGAAGAAAAGATACTGCCAAGAAAAGCCTCCGTTGGGGAGATTAAACCCAGCTCCTGAGCAGCCCATCTGCCTGGCCGTGCTGGGGCGCGGGTGCTGCGGCACTGGACCCTCATCACCATGATAAAGCCCTGTGCCCGCCCGCGAGCCCAGCCGCCCCGCCGGTGCTGGCCCAGCCGCCAAAGGGGGATGACGAGCGCACAATAGGCAGGAGCAGAGGTCAAGTCTTTTTCTCTCCTCGCCCAGCCTTTCTTGTTTGTGGTGTTTCCATATGTAAAGCATGCCTTGCTCCCGGCTCCCCAGCCCCGCGGTAATGAGGCCTGGGCCTGCTGGAAGCCGTCTCCCCGTATTATTGTGCTGCCTCCTTCTTTTGAGCTCCCAGCATGTTAATTAGAGAGCGAGGAGAAAGGGAGAGGCTTCTAACTAAGCATCGAGAAAGCACAGGGGCTGGTGCATGGGGGTGACTTTCTCTCCTGGCTGAGAAAAGGGAGCTCGGGAGCCCTCCGCTCGCCCGCCCGCGAGCCCAGCCGCCCCGCCGGTGCTGGCCCAGCCGCCAAAGGGGGATGACGAGCGCACAATAGGCAGGAGCAGAGGTCAAGTCTTTTTCTCTCCTCGCCCAGCCTTTCTTGTTTGTGGTGTTTCCATATGTAAAGCATGCCTTGCTCCCGGCTCCCCAGCCCCGCGGTAATGAGGCCTGGGCCTGCTGGAAGCCGTCTCCCCGTATTATTGTGCTGCCTCCTTCTTTTGAGCTCCCGGCATGTTAATTAGAGAGCGAGGAGAAAGGGAGAGGCTTCTAACTAAGCATCGAGAAAGCACAGGGGCTGGTGCATGGGGGTGACTTTCTCTCCTGGCTGAGAAAAGGGAGCTCGGGAGCCCTCCGCTCGCTGCTGCAGGGTTGCGGGAGGATGCTGGGGGTCCTGAGCTTGCAGCCTGGCCACCGGGGTGCTACCGGGTCCCCCGTCCCCAGCAGGATGGAGATACCCATCTGGAAAGTCCGGTGCAGCCCCAGCGCTGCTGGTGGGAATCGCCTCCCATCCCCACCTCCAGGGGGGTCCCTGGGGGGATGCAGTGCACATTGTGCCCCACACTGTGCACTCCGCAGGTCCCAATTCTGCCGTGCCTTCATGGCTTTTCCCAGTGCGGCCTTGTGCCTGCTGCCAGGACAAGGCAGGGCCTCTTACCCATGGGTGGCCTGGCTTCAGCAAGGTTGGTTACAGCCAGCATCACCTGGAAGGCGAAAGCTGCTGGGTGCTTCTCTTCATTGCCTCTTTGGCGATTACTGATGAGCTGAAAGCCCATGCAGTTGCTGTCTCCCTGGCTGTGGAGCTCCTGTGCTGCTCATAGGTGTCCCCATGCCCTGCTTCCACCATCTACTGCTCATCCCCAAGCTGAAGACTCCCTTTCCACCAGGTGTGGCTCTTCAGGCTGGTGTCCTGAGCCCTCCCGAGGGCTGTGCAGGCGTGGATGGGGACGGGGCCTGCCTGGGGCATCCCCGGGGCTTGGTGCCTGACTTGCTGTTTCAGAGTGGGTGTCAGGAGCGGTCCGGGCAAGGGAGAGCCACACCAGAGGCAGGGCAGGGGATGGAATTCCTTCCCTCTGCCTTGGCCTTGCTTCCCTCAACCCCTCCCAGCCAGTGCCCTAAAAAACGGGGAGATCCTGCACTTTTCCACTACCACGCCAAATTTATTTCTGGAGAATAAAGCAAATACTCCCCCCGTGTTTTGCGAGGATGCTCTCTTCCTCCCCCAGCGATGGCAGCAGATTTGCAGCCACTGCCAATCAGAAGTGGCTGGAGCCGTTTGGGGATCGTCCCTGGCAGCCTACTGTCGGGCTGTAAGCCTTGCTGTGCCAGGAGCAATCTGTCTCCCATCTCCTGAGCCTCCCTCTGCAGTCCTGGATGCCCCTGCAAGGCCGTTTGCAGGCTGAGAGGCTGGGGGTGCTCTGCTCCTGCAGGGTTTTCCCTGCAGACCTCGGTCCTGGCACTGGTGCTGGATTTGGGCTGGAAGCACTGGCTGTGCTGCCACTGCGCCCTGGGTGTCACGATCCCGCATCCAGGGCAGAGTTGTGCTCAAGGTCTCGCCTCCGTGGGAAACCACTCAGCTTCCACTTGAGCAGGCTTACGAACAAGTTCACGAGAAGCCGCTGCAGCTAGCTGGGACTGTGTCACGCTGGCTGGAGCCTGGTCCCCCCCGCCAGCATCACGCAGGTGCTGCGGGTGGGGAGGGGGCAGCATGGGGAGATGCTCTGCCCCCCGGCGAGGTCTGGGCTGGGGGAGATGCTCTGGTGGGCCAAGTGAAAGGTTCTCCTCCCACAGAGACCCTTTCCTGTCTTCATGCACCGCAGAGGAGCGGTGGCCGAGTACAGGCTGCAGCTCTGCCCTTGCCTGGTGCAACACCCACCCTGAAGTCTCCCCATCCTACAAAGGATGGAGACAACAACAAGTGCTGAAGGATTTGCTAAAAAACAGCCTAGGGGAAAGGCAGGGAGCTGGACAGGGCCGGGAGGTGTCACAGCAGCCCTGGGCTCTGTGGTGGCTGCTCTGGGAGTGGCAGGGGCAGCTGGGGGGAGCTCTGCTGAGCTTCCCGGGGGAAAATAGGCCAGCTCTGAGCTGTCGTGTCGGGAAGGATGTGACTGTTGTGCCACAGCTCGCAGGACATCCCACAGATCCCATTTAGGGCAGCTGGGGCAGGGTCCTGTGCACACCTGCAGGAGGGACCCCACGGCACATTGGCCCTTGACGGGGCAGGGATGGGGGCTACCAGCTCAGCATCTCCCTTTCTGGGTACGCAGAGGTGTCAGCCAGGCTCCCACAAACCTTCCCTCCTGCCTCTGTGGAGAGGGAGAAAGCGGGTCCTGTCTGCCACGTCTGTAACTGTAGCGGAACTGGTGGGAATACATCTGCTAAAGGCATCGTGTTACTTTGCTGGGAGGCTCCACCGCACCAGACAGCCTGCGGGTGAGAGCCCCTGCTAAAGACATTACTGCCTGCAGAGGAGGTGCGTGGCCCCGCTGTGCCCGGCCACCCAGCAGCGGTGCTTTACCAAAAATCTGGGCATGGAGCACAGCACTGTTGGCAGCGAGATGGCCCCGAGCTCTGCTGAGGGCTTGGGACGCCTTGTCCCCACGTGCCCAGCATGCAGGGTAGGCCAAACCCTGCCGCACCAGGAGGGTGGTGTGTAGGTACGGGGTGCTTGCAGGGCGATGCTGTAGCTGCACCAGGGCAAAGTGCTGGGCACCGATGGGACTGCCTGCGGCTGGGGCGGGCATGGGGTGGCAGAGCCTGCCCTCCCGGCGCATGGTGGGGCTGTGAAGAGGTGAGGTGGGTGGGGAGCATCACTTTGGTGCAGTCCCTTGACTTTCTGTGTCCTGTCCTCAGTGGGAAGAGGTGAGCGGGTACGATGAGAACATGAACACGATTCGCACCTACCAGGTATGCAACGTCTTCGAATCCAGCCAAAACAACTGGCTCCGGACCAAGTATATCCGGAGGCGAGGAGCACACCGCATCCACGTGGAGATGAAATTTTCTGTTCGGGACTGCAGCAGCATCCCTAATGTCCCAGGCTCCTGTAAGGAGACTTTTAACCTCTACTATTTTGAGTCAGACTTTGACTCGGCCACCAAGACTTTTCCTAACTGGATGGAGAATCCTTGGATGAAGGTGGACACGATTGCTGCCGACGAGAGCTTCTCTCAGGTGGACCTAGGTGGACGGGTGATGAAGATTAACACCGAGGTGCGCAGTTTTGGGCCTGTCTCCAAGAACGGTTTCTACCTGGCCTTCCAGGACTACGGAGGCTGCATGTCCTTGATTGCTGTCCGTGTCTTCTACCGCAAGTGTCCCCGTGTGATCCAAAACGGGGCTGTCTTCCAAGAAACCCTCTCGGGAGCGGAGAGTACCTCGTTGGTGGCAGCCCGGGGGACGTGCATCACCAACGCAGAGGAGGTGGACGTGCCGATCAAGCTCTACTGCAACGGGGATGGTGAATGGCTGGTGCCCATTGGCCGCTGCATGTGCCGGGCGGGCTACGAGTCAGTAGAGAACGGGACCGTCTGCAGAGGTAACCGCTTGCCTTCGGTCTCACTCCGCACGCTTGCCTTGCTGCTGGTGGGCTGTGCCTGTGGCGGCAGCTGGGACTTGCAGCTGGGATCTGCATGAGCTGCCAGGGAGTGACCTCCTTGGGCAGGGGTGGGAGAGGAGCAGGCGGGGACATGGGAGAGGAGCTTGTGTGTGGATGCTGACTCCTTCCCCAGCTCCTCAATTCCTGCCCTGGGCTCATCCATCCATTTTAGAGGCTCTGCATTACCTATGGGCCCTCAGAGCCACTGGGTCCAGGGGTGCCAGCCTGTTGCTGGTGGCCTCCATGTTCTCCAGGTGTTGGAAGAACATGTGTGCATAGCTGTGGTGTGTGCCACGGACCTGGCAGTCCCCAAAATACTGGGGCTGTTTTCACTTCAGTTTGTGCCTTGTGCCTTGGTGTGGGCTGAAGAGCTTCTGGGGTGAGGGGGGTGGGAGTGCAGGCACCCAGAGGTGATGCAGTGGGAGGGAGCAAGTTGTCTGTCCTGGTGAGGTGCAAATGGCCCAGGGTGGGACATGGTCACAGGCTGCTGGGAGCCAGGCTCACCTCTCCAGCCTGGACGCCTCCCAGCCTGGCCCAGGAGCTCCCTCAGCAGCCAGAGGTCTCCTGCCCTGTAGATGTTCTCCTCCTTGTATATGTTCAGCCCTGTAGATGTTCAAAGCAGACTCCAGGAGCATCTGCTCAGCTCAGCTGAGCACCATGGAGCCAGTGTGGTCCCGGGCAAGTGAGAGGCTCTGCGCTACCCTCCCTGAAAGCCCATCTCCATGCTTCTCCCCAGTCACGTGTGGAATTGGAGAGGGGGAGAAAGTGCTGCTGGGCATTGGGAGAGAGATGGGGACCTGAGAGCTGCAATGAGCACCTGTGGCTATACCATGCACAGAGCAAACCACAGCATTTGGCAAATGGACTCTTCCCCCCTCCCCGTCCCAGCTGAACATCAAAATCCCATTACGGCTTCGATAGCATCAGCACGCTCTGAGCAGGGCTGGAGTTTCTCTGCGATCGATTATAGATATGTCGGTGGGCACTGACGAGTGCAGGGAAGGAGCCGTGTCTCCACTCTTCTTGCTGTGGGAAGGGGTGGCCGGGTAGGACCGAGCAGGCCTGAGGAAGGTGCTGGTAGGTGGGGAGATGGACACACGGGAGAGGGGGAACAGGCACATGGGAGAAGGGGACTGGGTGGTCTCTGGCTGCGCTTGGTTGGGACCGCAGGTTGGAGAGGGCACCGCACCTTCTGCTGGTGGCTGGGCTGCTCATGTGCTGAGCATCCTGATGTGCTCGGGGTGTTGTTTAATATCCATGCTTTGAGCTACTCCTCACTGAGCTGCTGAATGTCTCTTCCCACTGAGCTGGGGTGATCAAGTGTCCTCCAGCTGCAGCAGGGACAGCGCTGGGGACGGGGACAGCAGGGAGGTGCTGCTGCAACACGGGATGGGAAGGGAGCCTGGCTAATCCCAGCCTTGAAGGGAAGATGGGTGTTTTACGACATCCAAGTGAAGCATTCGTAGCAACATCAGAAAGTCAAAATGATTCATGTCAGCTTTTCCATCTCAGCCTTTTTTTTTTGTTTTGCTGGAGCCAACCCAGCCCTGCCCAGTGCTTTGCTCTGATGAAGCTACAGTTTCTTGGGGCATCCTGGTCCGGCCACCAGCCCAGCCAAGGGACGGTCCCTTTGCATGCCTCAGGGCTCCCGGGACCTCCTTATGCCGAGCCCAGTTCCTGCAGCCTGGCTGGCGGGGC